GTTTATATTTTTTGTTTTGTTTTTGAGGCACATTCTGACTCTGACATTTTGTTTGTTAGCCTTAATCTATAATGGCTGCACCAGCTCTCCAGCTCCACACTAACTCTGTACTATGGCTGGCCTCAAACTCATCTGTTGCACATCTGGCCTGAGCTGCTTCTCTTACCATACCCAGGTTGTCTGTGTTGGGTGAGTGACGTGCACACATTATGGGTCTGCTGTCAGCTTGGCTGGTTCGTAGAACTAATGCTGAGCCAGATGTAGCTAAAGTCCATGCCCCTCTGTGGAGCCAGCAGAGGACAACAGCAGTTAACATTCACCTTGTTGGTAATAGTTGTGCGGTAGGGGGAAGGGATGTCTTCTGTTGTTGTTTTAGTTTTCAGAAAGCAGTATCATAAGATACCATGTGAAAACAAATGGAAACAAAGAAAGCAGGCACCAGTGAGAGAGATAGGGCTTCCAACATGAAATTATGGAAATTGGATTATAGCTCAAATAGAGACATCATTAATGAAATAGTTGGCAGTTACTAAGAATGCCAGGAAAGCTTGAAATTGAATTGTTTTTTGGATCTTGCATTGTTAGGAAGAAGCTGTTTATATTTTACTGTGAAAACTGATGTTAAGCTACTATAATATAAGGTAAAACAAAATGAAATAATAATTTTAAATACTTTCTTCACATCACATTGTATAATAGCTTTATTGTAAATGGTCAGAGATAAGTAAATTATGTCATTGTAAGTATTGGCAATAGACATAGATTAGTTTTGCATTTTGAAAGGAAAGCAGCAATGTTGGCCGCTGGGCTCAACACCTGAGAATGGTTTGGTATAATTTAAAATAAGAGCTTTGGGGTTGTGCCTTAGGAATTAGACCTAATGGTTTGACTCCATAGCCATGTGCCTGACCTCATGAAGGATGCATTGTTGCAGCTCTTTAAGGAAACCCAACAATGTTTCTTTTAGTACCAACCATTCTCATTAATTCTCTCCCCGTCTGTCTTTCTCTCTGTCTGTTTCTCAGTAGTATTTTGTCATAGTGTTTTTGGAACTCTCACAGGGTATTTACTGGTCCAGATGCAAGGAAGGGATCTTCTTTTTGTGCCTATACTCATAATAAATGACTTGTGTTCCCAAGTGCTTCGGGAATTGTGGCTGCTAACTGATGGTCACCACATGACTTATTCCGAGTTGCCTCCATATATTTTCCTTCTCTGAAGTTATCTTGTTAAGCGTGCCATTTGTATTAGCAGAACTAAAAAGATGAGTAAGTAGTTTACTCACAGTTTAAAGCTGTGGCCCACATCTAAGTAGATTCTAGGGCATGAACATAGGAGAGGCATCAGCAAGGCAGCAGAAGGCCATGGAACAGATGACCAAGGGCCACTGTGTTTAGGTCTGAGGAGACTCTTGAGTGCTACTTAAATCAGCTCCAGCTTCACCCAGAGTGTTCTCACTTCCCTTTGACCAATTAATTCATCCTTCAAGAAAGTCTTCTAATGATCTGAAATAGTAGTAATAATTTATGCCCATCACCAAGTGGTTTGAAGCATTAGAAAATTAGAAACAGCCTGAATCTCTTATTTTTTTAATCACCACCCCCCAGCCAAAAAAAAAAAAAAAAAAAAGAAAAAAAAAAAAAAAAAAAAAGCATGACACGCGGCAGGAGGCAAGCTACTTCCCCGGACGGATGCGGGACCAGGTCGTCACAAGAGCCCTGAAGCGCCCCTATCGTAGTAGTGGACAGAAAACAGCGGTGTAATAAAAATTCTTGCATATATTTTCTTAAATGCCTTTTAATATTCCCATTAAGCATTATCCAAAACTAGAAGTCTTGCTGGTAACACAATGCCTAGGGAAAGCAGAATGCTTTCTTTTGATTTTGTCCTTGGGATTCCAGTCCCGCCTTTGTGTATTGCCTCCAGCCCGGTGGCCATGAGGAAGGGAGGGTCATGACTGGAGCAACCTGCACAGAGAAACCAGGGAAAGACTAAGATGGAGAGGAAGAAAATGAGAGAGACCCACAAAGGGCTGGTCCTGTTAAAAGTCCCCAGTGGTGTCCAGAAACCACAAAACTTTTTTTTAATGTCTGTTTTCAAAAATTGGTTGTATTCTACCAATTCCTTTTTGCTAAGCTTGTTTTTGATAACTGTCTCCCTTGTTATTGTTCCGAGTTCTCCAAATCTATATTCATCTTGCTTTTTACCTTGTCATTTACCATTCTTTGATTGAATCTTCCTTACATTCAATGAAATTAAATTGTTTGAATGTCCTTTGCAACTAAGATTTAATTTTCCTGCTTAAATATCTTGGAATTCTGCCTTTTGTTATTTTTGCCTGATAGTGGCTTTTTCCATCAGCAGGAATGAAAGCAGTCAATAAAAGTTCATTGCTGACTCTATGATTATATGAAGGGCTTACCATAATGCATATTGGAAACGTCTTTGAAACCCTTTTCCTGAATGGAAGGTGCCATGGCTTGTGCTTTATGGCCTTCTAATGTTAGACAGTAATCTCATTTAGCATTTTCCCAAAGTGAAAACAGTGCATTAGGGCAGCATAACAAGCCCTGCAGATCAATACAGAGGCAGAGCCACACCATTACAGATGAATCCAAGAAAAATGGACCCGAGTCTGCTGCAGGAACTAGGGGACAATTATGCTGATTTCCAATGTTCTTCCCCCCTCTCTACCATCTAGTCATCAATACGGGTTGAAATGTATACAAAAAGAATTTCAGATGATGACTGCACACACACACACACACACACACACACACACACGTCTAGAACAGACTACCCGACAAGAAATCAAGGGCTTGGAAGTGAGTACTAATATTGATTTGTGGTGATAAAAGTATATTTTGACACACTTCAAATCATAAATAACTCATGAACTTTAATTTGCATGACTAGTAGCTTAGCTCAAGGTAAATGCATATATACAACTTAACCATTTTGTCATTTTTCTAGTAAGTTTATAGCATTAAATCAATTCTTCTATTGCAAATAGTCTTTAGGAGAAAAACATATCTGTACTCCATATGTATACACTTACGCATAGCGTTTTCTTGTATGTAGTGTGTGATGCTCACTCTGATAGACTCTGCCTGTGTATAACTAACTGGTAAAGGGCCATGAGTCTGCTCAGGCCTGTGCTAGTCTTCTCCCCACCATCTTATCCCTACCTCTAGCTCTAAGATACATTGGAGGCATAGTCAGATATCAGAATGTTAGTAGCTCTCCTTTGTGAATTATTAGCATCATCAGACAGATATTTGCTGCATTAAGCTGGCCTGATGCTTAATCATATTTTATTCAACATTTATCCAGCTACAAGTTTTGCTGTCATCAAGTGGTATCAGGGGCTATGATTCTCAAAGCACAGCTGACTCCTTTTAGATGCTGATGTTCATACGGAAAGGGATTGGGGAAACCTAAGTCCAGGAAAATTCACAGCCACCCTGAACTTTGAAGTCTTAAAAAGAATTGAAACTCTTAGGATTGAATTTAAATTCTGTTCTTGGATATTTGACAAAAAAGTAAGGTAATGAATGAAAAAGTAAAAGCAATGTTTTGTCAAATTTGTGGGATTATTTTTTTCCCCTGTATGTCTACTTTCTTTCAAGGATAGTGGGAAGCAAATTCCCTTAGGGACAGTAACATGGTTTGCATTTCCACTCCAGCAAAATATATATTAGCTTAGTGTGTTGGATACAAGTAATGAGGAGACAAATTGTCACCCAGGGGTTTCTTTATTGATGGGAAATATTCCCTGTGTTCTCTAGGGCTTTTTTAAAGAACCCATTAAACTTAAAATAATGCTACTCCAAGATTATATGGAAATAACAAATTTAAATTTCAAAGACAGAACTGTTAATGCTAGAATCATATTGTGTTTAACAAACTAATTTTTTTAAAAAATACAAATTTCTAGATTAAAAATGTTTTTTTACATACTTTCTCTATGTGTGGTTTAGTCCTAATAACCCAAGTTCTCCTACCATATAAACAAGAATATTTTCTATTTGTATAAATCATTTGGTTTATTATTTTCAACTGTGTATTATAAACTTTATGCAAACATTTATGTTTGGCATAGCAGATTCACTGAGAGCAATCTAACTAAAATCTGAGATTTGTAAATATAATTTCAAAACTGTTACTCAGGGAATTTTTAAATGTTTATGCATTTGTGTTCATTCAACAGAGTTGTTGCATGTCTTCTATAAGAAGTATCCACAGCTAATAGCTGAAATCACAAAGAAAACAAGACATAGTCCTTAGAATTTGCATTTTAGTAAATGTAGGCTGCAGGACTACACTGAACTATTCTATAGTCAGTGTCAAGGGCAGAGTAAGAAGTTAACACAGGAAGAGAGACAAACCAGGGAAAAGGGTACTAATGAAAGTTGTAGGGAAGGGTACACTTGAATTACATATTGAAAAATGAGTAGATATTTTTCAGATATATAGGCATGGTTGGGAATTTTAGTGCCAAGCATCTTGAAGAAGAGCAGCATATGAGCACAGATGCGAGGGGGCCTGGAATAATTTGTTCAAGCTACAGTGGTGTATGGGATGGGAATTGGGGTCCAAGATAGGCAGGAGCATGATGGATCATAGTGCCTCTGCTGGCCTTAAAGAAGAGGGATGGAGGGAGGGAAGGAAGGGATGGAGGGAAGGAAGGGATGCAGGGACAGAGGGATGGAGGGAGGGAGAGAAAGGAGAGAGAAGAGAGAGAGGGAGGGAAGGAGGGAGAGAGAAGGGAGGGGAGAGAGAAGGGAGAGGAGGGGGAGAGAGGAGGGAGGAAGGAAGGAGAGAGGGAGGGGAGAGAGAAAAGGTGGGGAGAGACAGAAGGGAGGGAAGGAGGAAGGGAGGGAGGAAGGGAGCATGGATGCCATTCATGGAACTTGGGCTTGGATGTTACAGGTCTTTAACCTTGGTCTTTGCTCTGAATGAGGATGCTTTGTCTCAGCGGTCCCTGTTTTTGTTTTCAGGCGGTATGAGTATCATCCTGTCTGTGCAGACCTACAGGCCAAAATCCTCCAGTGTTACCGCCAGAACACCCAGCAGACCCTCAGCTGCTCTGCTCTGGCCAGCCAGTACATGCACTGTGTCAACCATGCCAAACAGGTGGGTCTGCAGGCTCACTGGGCCACCTGAAGAACAGAAGGCCCAATGTTATTGGGCAGTGGTAAGATGTGTGGGAAGGCTTTCTAAGAATTTCTATTAATCAGTTGATTAGGTTATAACTTTCATCTGGTTCGTTGTCAAAAGAGTCCAAATTCTAGCTGAGCCTGTTGGCCAGGCCTGGATTCCCAGCTGCTCATGAATCTGGGGCAGAAGAACCACAGGTTCAAGGATGGCAACGAATAAGCTCAGGGCCAGCCTGTGTGTGACGGTTTGAATGAAAATGCCCCCCATATGCTCCAAGTATTTGGACATTTTGTCCCCAGTTGGTGGTGCTGTTTTGGGAGGTTTTAAAAGGTGTAGCTATCCTGGAGGAAGCACGTCACTGGGGGTGGGCTTAGAGAGTTCTTAAGCTTTGCTGGATCTCCAGTTGCTCTCTTGTTTCCTGTGCCTGCTGGAAGATGTACAGCTTAGCTTTGGCTCCTCCTCCAGCCACCTCTGCCACCATGGCTCCCCGTCAAGACCAACTGTAATTCCCCTGGAACCGTAAGCTCAAATGCTCCAGCTACCTCTGCTGCCATGGCTCCTTGCCATGATGGACTGTAATTCCCCTGGAACTGTAAGCTCAAATAAACTCTTCCTTCTATAAATTGCTTTGGTCAGTGTTTGGTCTATCACAGCAACAGAAAAGTCAAATACACTGGGCAACTTAGTAAGACCCTGTCTCTGAATAAAAAGTAAAAGAGGGCTGGAGGTGTATGTAACTCAGTGGTAGAGTGATTGCCTAACATTCACAAGACCCTGGATTCAAGTCCCAATACCAGAACAAAGAAGAGTCCAAATTCTTGTGTTCAACCTATTTACTTCTAGGGGAAAAGAACTTTATTATTAAAATGATACTTTTGTTCATTTGCTTTGAACTTTCTATCTTCTAATGGTTCCAGTGGTTGTATTCTCAAGGTCAAGTGCCTTATACTCCTGAAGGCCACTATACAAAGCCAGCAAAGAGGAAGTTTATACATTAAGGGACCGGCAAACTTGAGGTCCATGAGCAATAGGCGGCCTTGTAGAGAGTGTAATTTTTACTTGTACCCACTTGTGAAAGAGTTGTACTGTTGCTCTGGAGTGTGTTACTGAATATGTTAAAGCTGTAGTGAAAACTTCTAATCATGTAGTTATTAAAAATTTTTTAAAGTATAATAATTAAAATAATAATTCTTCAAAGCATAAAAATTTGCTCCTTAATAATTAGTAGATGTGCAAAACATTACCATTGAAATCTACCTGATGACTTTACATTCATGCTCAGGTGCCAAGGATCTTAGAAAGTAAGTGACTGTGACTAGTAATAATCAGATACATAGAGATTAGAGACGCATGTACAAACATCTAAGTGTTATTTGCATTAAAAATGAGCTTTTCTGTATGAAACAGTAGATTCTAATAATGAAATAGAAATCTTTTTTAAAGGTTAAGAGATGCAGCCTAGCTCAGAAAATTGTTATTGAATATGTCGATGCTGATGTAATGAAATGCTTCTTCTAAGTATGTGGTTATTAAATAAAAGAGAGCCACTGTTAAGTCACTAGTCACTCTGACCAGTCAGTAGAGCCCTTTCAATTGAGCAGGTAAAAGGAGACGGAATCAGATCTAAGGAAGAATTTCCTTTGCTTCCATATGCTTCTCTTGATACTTCATATCAGAATAATATAGTGCTCACTGGATGTGTATTTTCTCTTAATTTATGTTCTTTAGAAAGTTAATAACTCTACAGCAAATTAACAATTCCAACAGGTCTCATAATGGCCTGTCCTTTAACTGCTTTACAGTTGGGTGTAGGTTGTTCTGAGAGATACAAATTGTTGGAAACCTTGGTTCTTTCTGTTGACAAACTCCCTAGAGTTGACCTTTCCACCCAACTGAATCTATTGTTTGAGTTACACAGCATGCCTTTCTACAGTCTAATTTGCTCCCGATATAATAATACCACTTAGTGTAAATTTCCAACACTCTGTAAATATCTGAAGGGAGGGTTGCTATTGTCTGGGTAGCTGGAAAATAACAGTAACATTAAGTGGGTAAAATATAACCAAGATTAAAAAGCCCACATTGTCTTTAAAAGCCTAGAGACTTGCTTTTGTTACTGGCTTGGAGCAGCACTTGCATAACTGAGTATATGCCAGAGATTCTTTTCTTTAAAGGTCTTTTCTAGAGGTAATGCTGCTAATGTTAAGTTAGTGCCTATTATTTGTCAAAAACAGCCTCTGATATGCTTTTAACAAGCCCCCAACCTTCAATATTAATACTGCCTGAGCACTTGGGAACTTGTAGAGTTGATTCATGGGTTTTTCTAACTTGATAATAGTGCCTTGTGGAGGTGGGACTGAGTGGTCAAGAGGATGGCGGTGTCAAAGTTCATGCTTCAAGCTGGTGTCAGACACAGGTGCCTATTTCCACAGTGTGATTTATGATACTACTGAAGTGGCAACATGAAGGGCCTTGGAGTGCTGACTCCATCCTGCCTGGCTAGGTTGCGTTGAATCACACTTAGCTCTATGGTGCCTGTTTATAGAATAAAAACTGTCAACATGTGGCAGTATCAGAATATGCCACACAGCGTAGTAGAGGGAGAATCTCACAGGTCTGAGTTTATAACTAAGCCCTCTTTTTCTTAGATCTTTGACCTTGAGCCTTGATTTTTCTCATCAGTAAATTGCATAATTCTGTCATGGTTTCATTTATACAAAGTATTTGGTACATCTTAATTTTTCCCAAATCCCCAAATCATTTTTTGAAATCATGGAATTATTACTAGTAATTCAGAAGGACCCACCTTCCTCCCTGTCACTCCCCAGCCTACCACATGGTTCATGTTATTTGGAGCTAGCGTGTTTGAAGCGCCTTACATTTGCATAGCCCTTCTATTCGGTTATTAGAAGTGTATGGCACAGGTAATATTAAAAAGATAAAAGTCTTAACCTAAGTTGGGCAGCACCATAATAGACACGAGCCATGAAACACCACACCTTTCATTTCTGCAGAACTTAAGATTTCAAGGTATTTCACATCTACTCTCCTGTCTTTTATGACAACCAGAGATGTAAATAGAAATGTTTTGATTTTCACCATTTTACAGTTGAAAGCATTGAAACCTAGGGAAGAAGTTGGTAAATTTAACAGCTTGATCAAGGTGCACCCTGCCATGAAAACAAAATATTTTTCAAAATAAATTGCCATTTGCTTTTTGGGCAGATATATGTGCAAAGGGTCTGCCATCATCCACTTACACAGAATAAGGCACTGAGGGGAAATGAGAACACTGATGGTAAAGTGAGCTAAAAGAGCATTGGCCATCTACTGAAATGGCAGTGGAGTCTAAAGGTCACAGATAGAGCATGAGATGATGGTGCCCATGATCAAAGAAAGGCCACACCAAATCAGATGAAGGGATCTAATAGTAACTAGCAGTTATTTTTCCTCTGATACAAGGCTGTCCTCTTGTTCCCTATTTGTCAGTGCATATGGTCTTCTCCTATCATGGCAGCTACAGGTGGGCCACCTCCTCTTCCTAGCCTCCAGTTAGGTCCAGAAAATGTACTGGACACATAAATGACAGCAACCTATTAGGTCTTGTGTCCATTTCCAATGCTGTGCAAGGGTTTCCCCTGTGGAATAATTGCAATAGTCAGATCCACTCTGCTTTTAAATGACTCATAAGGTTGGGCTTTCACAGGTCTCTGGGGCACTGCTCTGGAGACTAATAGATTTTACTAGTAGGAAAATGTCCGGATGTCCCTTAGCCTTCCTCTCCTTTCTTCCTGTTGGTCCACCCATTGACATCTATCTTCAGCTATTCTGAAACAATTCCTCGTGGTTGACATGAGACGTTTAGACTGTTATTGTCAGTGTATTAAGTTATGTATTCTTCATGCGGGTAAAGAGATATTAAATTGCTCTAATTATTATTTCTAAGTTGTAAAAGCTACTGACTGGCTATATGAAGCATCAGCTGACATAGATTTGGGTCTTTTTTTTCCCCTATATTTTCTTAGCCTCGTAACTTTCTAAGCTTCTCATTATTGAGTTATGTCTCACCATTAAAACCTGGTTCTCATTCAGTCTGGTTCTCACCACTCCTGCCGCACATGTGGGACCCTGGAAAGGGGGAAGAGGATGGGAATCCAGTAGTAAATAGTATGTGCCCACTAATGGCTCCAACGTCCTCAACTTGTATTTTCCAAAAGTGAGGGAGGGCTGGCTGACTTCTAGATCTGCATTGCCTCTATTCCTGGTGTCACTCCACTGCCTTAATGTTTACTTGCAGAGTTGGAGGCAGGAATTCTAAGTATGTCAGCATTTTCCCAGCCCTCTTGCTCTTGATAGAAGAGCACGGAAACTAGATGGATTCTCATGGAGCATTCTGTATTCACCTGAGGGTAAGGTTATTGGGAAATGCTGTTGTTAGCATCTTAATCTATTCATGGTAACCAGAGCTTTAGTTTCTTCCTTAGTGAGTTAAGGGTTTGACACTGTGTTTTATGGTCTTGGCCGAGAGCAAGAAGTGGGCATAAGCCCAAGAGGCAGGTCTGTTTAGTGGGAAAAGCTTCCTGTTTTTGAAACCTGGAGTTCTGAGCCTTTGCCTCCTAGATTTCCTGTTAATCTTCAGCTTTTCACTCAGGAAGAACAGCCACCCTTGTGACTGGTTTGCTGCTGCCTGGCTGGCTTGGCTACTTACCCTTTCCTCAAGTTCACACTCTTGACAGCCCTGAGGAAGTCAAGGCTGTCCATTGAACAGGGAGGGCTAGAAACAGTTTCACAGTTTCTCCAGAGTTAGTGAAGTGAAAAACATCTGTCCCCATACTGCCTGCCTAAAATGTAGCTTGCCAGCAATAAACTCCCTTAGAAAATGCAGGTGCCTTAGCCAGTCCCAGGTCTTCATTGTCCCGTGATGCCTCTTATTCTGAGGTATGGGTCATGGGAGGTGAGAGATTTGGGAGATGGAA